TGGTGGAACACTTGCCTGGTAGTGTGTGAGCACCTGGTGGAACACTCGCCTGGTAGTGTGTGAGCACCTGGTGGAACACTCACCTGGTAGTGTGTGAGCACCTGGTGGAACACTCACCTGGTGTGTGTACACCTGGTGGAACACTCGCCTGGTAGTGTGTGAGCACCTGGTGGAACACTCGCCTGGTAATGTGTGTGAGCACCTGGTGGAACACTCACCACACAAAGCACCTGGTGGAACACTCACCTGACAGAGCACCTGGTGGAACACTCACCTGACAGAGCACCTGGTGGAACACTCACCACACAGAGCACCTGGTGGAACACTCACCACACAGAGCACCTGGTGGAACACTCACCTGACAGAGCACCTGGTGGAACACTCACCTGACAGAGCACCTGGTGGAACACTCACCTGACACAGAGCACCTGGTGGAACACTCACCTGACACAGAGCACCTGGTGGAACACTCACCTGACACAGAGCACCTGGTGGAACACTCACCACACAGACAGAGCACCTGGTGGAACACTCACCTGACAGAGCACCTGGTGGAACACTCACCTGACAGACAGAGCACCTGGTGGAACACTCACCTGACAGACAGAGCACCTGGTGGAACACTCACCTGACAGACAGAGCACCTGGTGGAACACTCACCTGACAGACAGAGCACCTGGTGGAACACTCACCTGACACAGAGCATCTGGTGGAACACTCACCTGACAGTCAGAGCACCTGGTGGAACACTCACCTGACACAGAGCACCTGGTGGAACACTCACCACACAGACAGAGCACCTGGTGGAACACTCACCACACCGAGCACCTGGTGGAACACTCACCTGACAGACAGAGCACCTGGTGGAACACTCACCTGACAGCGTGAAGGAGGCGAGGAAGGGGGTACTGCGCACCAGAGTCAGCACCGAGGACACGCAACGAAACAAGCAGTTGACGTTCGCAGGAGACGACTTCTTCCTCCAAGACCCATTCTTCCCGCTCACCGAGAACATGGTGGGCGCTCCCGTGGGCGCTCGGCTACCACAACCACCACCACTACCACCACTACCACAACCACTCACCCCTCGCCGTCTCTCCATATTAACGATAGTTCCCGCTGCATCGCCGCCACTAGAATCATCATACTTGTAATGTCTCCAAGTTGTCATTGAAAATATAAAAGTTGTTTAGGTATATGTTGCATTTTGGATACTCGAAAATTACTGCATTAAACCGGTCTATGCGGCGCGAGGCTGGGTTTCAGTATAGCCGGAGGCACTGTGGAGGGCTGGTCGGGCGCCTGTACATGATCAGTCTACTGGGTGGTGGTGGGGTAGATCAGTCTACTGGATGGTGGTGGGGTAGATCAGTCTACTGGGTGGTGGTGGGGTAGATCAGTCTACTGGGTGGTGGTGGGGTAGATCAGTCTACTGGGTGGTGGTGGGGTAGATCAGTCTACTGGGTGGTGGTGGGGTAGATCAGTCTACTGGGTGGTGGTGGGGTAGATCAGTCTACTGGATGGTGGTAGGGTAGATCAGTCTACTGGATGGTGGTAGGGTAGATCAGTCTACTGGATGGTGGTAGGGTAGATCAGTCTACTGGATGGTGGTAGGGTAGATCAGTCTACTGGATGGTGGTAGGGTAGATCAGTCTACTGGATGGTGGTAGGGTAGAAGATTAGTCTACTGGATGGGGGTGGGGTAGATGATCAGTCTACTGGATGGGGTGAGGTAGATGATCAGTCTACTGGATGGGGTGAGGTAGATGATCAGTCTACTGGATGGGGTGAGGTAGATGATCAGTCTACTGGATGGGGTGAGGTAGATCAGTCTACTGGATGGGGTGGGGTAGATGATCAGTCTACTGGATGGGGTGAGGTAGATGATCAGTCTACTGGATGGGATAGATGATCAGTCTACTGGATGGGGTAGATGATCAGTCTACTGGATGGGGGTGGGGTAGATGATCAGTCTACTGGATGGGGGTGGGGTAGATGATCAGTCTACTGGATGGGGGTGGGGTAGATGATCAGTCTACTGGATGGGGTGAGGTAGATGATCAGTCTACTGGATGGGGGTGGGGTAGATGATCAGTCTACTGGATGGGGGTGGGGTAGATCAGTCTACTGGATGGGGGTGGGGTAGATCAGTCTACTGGATGGGGGTGGGGTAGATCAGTCTACTGGATGGTGGTGGGGTAGATCAGTCTACTGGACGGTGGTGGGGTAGATCAGTCTACTGGATGGGGTGGGGTAGATCAGTCTACTGGATGGTGGTGGGGGTAGATGATCAGTCTACTGGACGGTGGTGGGGTAGATGACCAGTCTACTCGATAGTGGTGGGGTAGATGATCAGTCTACTGGATGGTGGTGGGGTAGATGATCAATCTACTGGATGGTGGTGGGGTAGATCAGTCTACTGGATGGTGGTGGGTAGATCAGTCTACTGGATGGTGGTGGGGTAGATCAGTCTACTGGATGGTGGTGGAGTAGATCAGTCTACTGGATGGTGGTGGGGTAGATGATCAGTCTACTGGATGGTGGTGGGGTAGATGATCAGTCTACTGGATGGGGGTGGGGTAGATGATCAGTCTACTGGATGGTGGTGGGGTAGATGATCAGTCTACTGGATGGTGGGGTAGATGATCAATCTACTGGATGGTCGTGGGTAGATGATCAATCTACTGGATGGTGGTGGAGTAGATGATCAGTCTACTGGATGGTGGTGGGGTAGATGATCAGTCTACTGGATGGTGGTGGGGTAGATAATCAGTCTACTGGATGGTGGTGGGGTAGATCAGTCTACTGGATGGTGGTGGGGTAGATCAGTCTACTGGATGGTGGTGGGGTAGATGATCAGTCTACTGGATGGTGGTGGGGTAGATGATCAGTCTACTGGATGGTGGTGGGGTAGATGATCAATCTACTGGATGGCGGTGGGGTAGATGATCAGTCTACTGGATGGTGGTGGGGTAGATGATCAATCTACTGGATGGCGGTGGGGTAGATGATCAGTCTACTGGATGGTGGTGGGGTAGATGATCAGTCTACTGGATGGTGGTGGGGTAGATGATCAGTCTACTGGATGGTGGTGGGGTAGATGACAGACATCAGGCAGCAGGAGACGAAGGCATGACTGATGCTTGACACAACAATTTATCGGAGTGACCTTTAGCACACATCCCCTCCCCCCCCCCCCCTCCTCTCTCACTCCCTCTCCCCCACTCGGAAGTCCTCTCTCTCTCACACTCTCTCTCTCTCTCTCTCTCTCTCTCTCTCTCTCTGATATCCACTTCCTGTCTCCCTGACGGTGTTGTGGGAAGTTTTATGAAGAAGTTGAAACATTTGCAAACGTTACCGACCTAATTTGGGAAGGTGGGGTGTGGGGGGTGATGCCCCAACCCCCTCTCGGTACCCCAGGTAACTTTCCCACAGGTAATTCTCCCACAGGTAACTACTCTCCCACAGACACACACTCCCATAACACCGTTATCTCACCCACCACCACTACCAGGTTATAACATTACATCAATTCTCACTATCGGAATGAGCATAAAATATAATTGTCATTTCTGGGCGTAAACAACGTCCCAGTTGGTCACTTGTTCGTACAGCTCATCGCTTAACCACACGCTTCACTTCTCTGGTTCCAACACTAACTTCTCACTTATTATTGCCACGCAAAGACAGGTTTTCCGGAGGTTGTGAGGTGCGGCGGTGACTGAGGCGCGGCGGTGACCGAGGTGCGGCAGTGACTGACTGAGGCGCGGCGCCCCCTCACCCCAGCACCACCGCGCACCGCCTCCACTTACCTGTAAGGCAAATGTAAACAAACGTGACTAGTCTTATATAATTTGATCTCAAAAAGTCAAAATAAAACCTAAAAAATTAAGTTTGAAACATCACATTACATGCTAACAGACCCACATACATAATGGACAGCATATTCCAGCGAGACACACACAGTATATAGTACAGTACTGTGATTTATTGACTTTGAATAGTGTTTGTGTAACAGTATCGGGGGTGTGGAGGCGGCTCGTACCTCCAGGTGCCCTCGACCACAGCTTCGTCAGCCTTGGAATCTGTGCAGTAGATATATCGACCAATCTATCGATCCACACAAGTCAGAGGCGGCTAAATAACTTGCGGAAGTTATTGTGTTGGTAATATATTGATTTAAACATGCCAGCGACCTGTGAAGTGTTCACCCAGCAGTGCCAGCGACCTGTGAAGTGTTCACCCAGCAGTGCCAGCGACCTGTGAAGTGTTCACCCAGCAGTGCCAGCGACCTGTGAAGTGTTCACCCAGCAGTGCCAGCGACCTGTGAAGTGTTCACCCAGCAGTGCCAGCGACCTGTGAAGTGTTCACCCAGCAGTGCCAGCGACCTGTGAAGTGTTCACCCAGCAGTGCCAGCGACCTGTGAAGTGTTCACCCAGCAGTGCCAGCGACCTGTGAAGTGTTCACCCAGCAGTGCCAGCGACCTGTGAAGTGTTCACCCAGCAGTGCCAGCGACCTGTGAAGTGTTCACCCAGCAGTGCCAGCGACCTGTGAAGTGTTCACCCAGCAGTGCCAGCGACCTGTGAAGTGTTCACCCAGCAGTGCCAGCGACCTGTGAAGTGTTCACCCAGCAGTGCCAGCGACCTGTGAAGTGTTCACCCAGCAGTGCCAGCGACCTGTGAAGTGTTCACCCAGCAGTGCCAGCGACCTGTGAAGTGTTCACCCAGCAGTGCCAGCGACCTGTGAAGTGTTCACCCAGCAGTTGAAAGATGGCTGCAGATTTCACTGTCCACTGCAGGGATGGAGACTCAGAATATAGGGTGTACATACACCCTATTTCTCGGTGTATATATATATATACTGAGTTTACAGTGGCCCTGACCTGTGTTTAGGGTTAAGGTGTACATGGTGGTTGGGTAGTGAGTCTGCGTCACGTGCCAAATAACCTTCGTGTAGTTGATAGGCCTTAATGCCCAACACCAAACCTATCATTCACTTGATCATCCCAGGCGGAGTAACGACGCTTCCTCAGGTAATGGTCGTTCAAGCTCCGGACCATCCCATGGTCGTTCAAGCTCCGGACCATCCCATGGTCGTTCAAGCTGCGGACCATCCCATGGTCGTTCAAGCTGCGGACCATCCCATGGTCGTTCAAGCTGCGGACCATCCCATGGTCGTTCAAGCTCCGGACCATCCCATGGTCGTTCAAGCTCCGGACCATCCCATGGTCGTTCAAGCTGCGGACCATCCCATGGTCGTTCAAGCTGCGGACCATCCCATGGTCGTTCAAGCTCCGGACCATCCCATGGTCGTTCAAGCTCCGGACCATCCCATGGTCGTTCAAGCTCCGGACCATCCCATGGTCGTTCAAGCTCCGGACCATCCCATGGTCGTTCAAGCTCCGGACCATCCCATGGTCGTTCAAGCTCCGGACCATCCCATGGTCGTTCAAGCTCCGGACCATCCCATGGTCGTTCAAGCTGCGGACCATCCCATGGTCGTTCAAGCTGCGGACCATCCCATGGTCGTTCAAGCTCCGGACCATCCCATGGTCGTTCAAGCTGCGGACCATCCCATGGTCGTTCAAGCTCCGGACCATCCCATGGTCGTTCAAGCTGCGGACCATCCCATGGTCGTTCAAGCTGCGGACCATCCCATGGTCGTTCAAGCTGCGGACCATCCCATGGTCGTTCAAGCTGCGGACCATCCCATGGTCGTTCAAGCTGCGGACCATCCCATGGTCGTTCAAGCTGCGGACCATCCCATGGTCGTTCAAGCTCCGGACCATCCCATGGTCGTTCAAGCTGCGGACCATCCCATGGTCGTTCAAGCTCCGGACCATCCCATGGTCGTTCAAGCTCCGGACCATCCCATGGTCGTTCAAGCTCCGGACCATCCCATGGTCGTTCAAGCTGCGGACCATCCCATGGTCGTTCAAGCTCCGGACCATCCCAAAGACACATTCGTCAATGTTAATGTATGAATGTAATCAAAAGTCTGTACTCAAAAATATAAATTTTCGTAAATGTATTAATAAATATAAATTTATAGTTGGTTCATTTACATAAAATGTAAATTTAAATCTAAAATGTTTCGTATATGTATCGTAAATACATATAAATATAAATGTATATGTATACTTGTGTGTGTATAGTTAGGGCCTAGGTTATGCTAGTTGATTCTGTTCTATCTGCAATTATTTATATTTGCAGCACTTGGGTGAAGCATTTTGTCCTGGACTATATTGTGGACCAAAATATATACTTGCCGGTTGGTCAGTAAGCTATAGTGGTGGCTTTAAACCCCCCCCCCCCCCCGCGGTGGATAGGTCTTAAGCCCAACACCAAGCCATGAGCGGTTAAGAGCCAATTATCTGTAAATTGTTTTAAATTTAGGGGAGATGTTATAGAGAGACGGCCGGATTAGCGAACAGTACAGCTGTTGTTGATGAGGACGGGCGGAGTTACGTGGCGGGAAGTAACGGGCACTCCTGGGGCTTCACTCACTCCAGAAACAAGTTTCCGTGAGTGACCGGGGTTGGGAGGGGGGGGTAAAGAGGATGAGGAAGCCCAGGTGAAGGGAAAGTTTAGAAATGGGAAAATACAGTGAGGGTTATTAAAGCAATGAGTTATTAACATTGTTAACATTCTAAATATTCTTAAACCTGTACTATTTGCTGACGATACTACCTTCATCTATTCTGACCCCCCCCCCTCCACACACTAAATAATATTGTCAACAATGAATTAAAAAAGTCCAATCATGGAAGTTAACCACCAAATTTACACTAAACATAAGCAAGACCTTCTACATTTTATTTGGTACCAAATCATCCAATCAGATTTAACTTCAGATAAACAATGTTAACATTACCAATAAAAATGAAGGAAAGTTCCTTGGCCCAGGAACTTGAATAGACTGAACTTCAACACCCACATTTAACAACACAGCCAAAAAATGACTCAAAAACGGTCAATATACTTTCTAAAATCAGATATGTTCCCCCACTCTGCTCTCCTCTCAGTATATGCTACGCACTAATCTAATCTATCCCTATCTTAAATACGGTATCTGTGCACGAGGTTCAACCACTGTAAATTACCTCAAGTCCATCATCACTCAACAAAAATCTGCTGTTAGAACTATAACACAGTCCTTTAAGTCCCTTAACATGCTAAACATACACTCACTCCACACATTCTCATGTGCCATTTACATGTACAAAACCTTGTTCCTAAATGCTAATCTTGATCTGAAACTTTTCCCTGATAGGTGTATTAGAACCCATGAGCACCACACTAGAAATAAATATCTCTTTGATATCCCCAGAATCAGACTAAATCTGTGTAAACACTCCATGCAAATAGAAGGACCCAGTCTTTGGAACTCACTCCCTGATGAATTAAAAAAAATTGTCCAACCCATGTCCTACCTTGCGATAATTACGTGGCTTAGCGTCCCTGCGGCCCGGTCTTCAATCAGATCTCCCTGTTCAAAAGTAAAACCAAAAAGTACCTAATTTAATCCTCATAGTTTCCTACCTTGTGCTTCAGACTCTCTTGTACTACCCACTTCCCCAACATTAGTACCCAAGACTAATTAAGTACTTAACCTTTACTAGTGTAATCACCTCTAAATATTTATCATTGATATAAAACCTTGCTACAATGTACCTCTTCACCTTACCTGATATGTCAGATTATGGACTGACCCCAAACGCTATGCGTGTTAGCGGCTTTGCAAGAATGTAAAAATATCACAAATGCAATCTCACCAACCCATTGTACCGTCTTGTATATAAAATATTATTATTATATATCCCATACCCCTCCCACCCATGATTCTGGCTTTCAATTTAAATTCATTCAATTTCTTTTTTTATTATGCACCCCATACCCATCCCGTGGGCGGTGGTGTAAAGGATTACAGAGGCACATAATCGGTTCAGGAACTGAACTCTCTAGTTCGTTTAGCTAAGCAAATAACAATTGTTGACGCTAGTTACAAAATTATTAACGTTATATATACATGTGCACATTCTCATACATACATGTACATATATATATATATATATATATATATATATATATATATATATATATATATATATATATATATATATATGCGTACACATATATACATACACATACATATCTAATCACCCACACAAATACACACACATCAATAATCTTTGTGTCACAAGTGATCAACAAGAGGCTCAAGGCATGACAAATGGGACACTTTCCTGCAAGTGCTGGACCAACCGGGCTGTAGTGGATACGTGGGCCTGCAGGCCGCTCCAAAGAACAACGTGCTCGATCTTAAGTAAACCCAGGGGCGGGCTTGGGGAGTAGTAGAACTCCCAGAACCCCTCCCCCCCCCCCATACCATCAGGTATATTTCAGGTACTCAAAACAACTCAGCCTACCTAGACTAATTACCCATTTTTCTTATATTTGAGAAAAATTCGTTTATCAAGTAAAATATTAACATTAAACGTAATGATTTGAAGGTAGAGAATCGGTCGACACTCACAGTAGCCTATAGTTCTCAAAACTCTTCATTCGCGTGTTTATACAAATATCTGACCACAGAACAAAAACACCTAATCCAACGTAACCAACTGTAAGCCTATATACGGAACTATAAACTATACAACTATAATATGCATTTGATACTGTTACAATTTTATGGTATGCTATCTTACATAGTGTTAGAGTAGAAAGACAGTGGCTGAAAGGGGCAGTCTTTAATTCACTTGGTGAAGCCTCTTCACTTGGTGAAGCCTCTTCACTTGGTGAAGCCTCTTCACTTGGTGAAGCCTCTTCACTTGGTGAAGCCTCTTCACTTGGTGAAGCCTCTTCACTTGGTGAAGCCTCTTCACTTGGTGAAGCCTCTTCACTTGGTGAAGCCTCTTCACTTGGTGAAGCCTCTTCACTTGGTGAAGCCTCTTCACTTGGTGAAGCCTCTTCACTGAGTGCTACAGCTGATGCTGCCAGGGGCGTAAAGATGCTCCATAGTATTGATGGCTACAACATGTGTCCCGAGGAATCAACCTGACCTCCTACAAAGAACGTCGCATTTCGCTCGTATGCGTTACATAAAGCCAAAAAAGTCGTACTAGAAAATGGAAGCGGCTGGCGAAAGTGACGTACTGTCCCGTTTTTTGTTTTGGGTCCTCTGGGAGGTTAGGAGAGGACATTGAGCGCTTTCTTGACGTTGGGGAACCTTAGGAGGACGGGGTGGTGGAATAGTGGTCAGCACAGTTGCATCACAGGCATAGGGTACCAGGTTCGATTCCCGCGGCAAGAAAGATGCGTTTGGGTAACATGTATCATTTATGATGCCTCTCTTCATCTTGCAATATATATGTTACCGGGAGCTAGTCATCTGTTGTCAGGCTAACCATAGCCAATGCTTCTTGCCCCGCTCCTGTGCCAGGTAAGTTACGGGCTCACCCTAGCCCGTGCTACTTGGAACTTGTTCCGAGTAGCTGAATCTATAACAACAACCACTTAATTCATATTACTCGCACCATTCGGACAGTCATACATAAGTTTTGATAGAGCCCAATAGGCTAGAGAATCTGTACACCAGTTGAATGTGAGGCGGGACCAAACAGCCAAAGCTCAACCCCCGGAAGCACAGCTAGGTGAGTACGTGGAAAGCGTAACCGTAGCAACACCACCGATCAGCTGACGCCATCAGCACAACATCCAGCCCTCGCCGCCAAACATAAAGTCAAATTTTCCAGCATCCTGGACGCCCGCCATCAACTGTCAACAACAACAATAAAGGCTTGACGCGCCACTGTGTCGCGTCTCCCAACCTCACATCTCGTGCAGTCGTCGCGTGGGCAGTAAACCCTCAAGCAACCTGCACGTACTGACTGCTCAAGATATATCTGAATTTACCGGAATTTACCCGAGGGCCTCGACGAGTACAGGAAGCCGGTGGCCTCGACGAGTACAGGAAGCCGGCGGCCTCGACGAGTACAGGAAGCCGGCGGCCTCGACGAGTACAGGAAGCCGGTGGCCTCGACGAGTACAGGAAATCAAACAGTTTTTTTATTAGGCGGTTCCAAGGGTTTATAACCATGTGGGTGGAAAAGTATCTCCTATTCTCAGTCCTATATTGTGGCTGGTGCCGTATCACGTATTACTGCTGGGTAGTGATGGATGAACGCCTCCGTCTGCGCCTCCAGCAGCACCAGCAGTACTACTCAAGGTGTGGTACCAGATATTTTCCGTACCTGCCCAAAAAAGAGGTGGCAGGGCTGGCTAAGCCACGTCCTCCTCTTGTGGGTGCTGGTCCCTCCACGCCCCGAGACCTCCAGGATCCCCTGGAGCTGGTGGACAGCGTCGTGTTACGTGGTGAAGGTCGTCCTCCAGGTGACTATCTGAAGGGTCCTCCTTCATGCCCCTCAATACCTTCTTCCTCGACAGGGAGACAGTGTTGCTGGGCCCAGCTGCGTCCTCCGTCAGGGAGACGAAGATCGTGGGGCCTACTTGTAACTCCCATGTCCCCCCCGCCCCCCTCCCTAGAGCTCACACCCAGGTCAGCCAAGATGACCTGTCCACTCGGCCGAGGGAGCCGGTCGGCCGAGTGGACAGTATGCTGGACTTGTGATCCTGTGGTCCTGGGTTCGATCCCAGGCACCGGCAAGAAACAATGGGCAGAGTTTCTTTCACCCTATGCCCCTGTTACCTAACAGTAAAATAGGTACCTGGGTGTTAGTCAGCTGTCACGGGCTGCTTCCTGGGGGTGGAGGCCTGGTCGAGGACCGGGCCACGGGGACACTAAAAAAGCCCCGAAATCATCTCAAGATAACCTCAAGAAGATAGTCTTAGTCAGCTAGTTTCAAGTAGGTGATATTTCTTGATCATCTTGTCAAACATTGTAATGGAATTAGACCCCCCAGATTCTTATGTGTAAACATCCATGGATCTACCCATTTCAGCCA